TCTCATGTCTCCATTGCCCATTTTCTGTTAGAAATCATTCGTTTTTTTCTGAGTAGTTTTTTTTTTTTCTTTGAGGCAGAGTTTTGCTCTTGTTGCCCAGGCTGGAGCACAATGGCACCATCTCAGCTCACCACAACCTCCACTTCCCGGGTTCAAGGTGGAAAAAATTCAAAACTTAAATTTCCTGTTGAATGCAATTTGAAAATACAGCCAATGATTCCACTTTTCTTCTCTAGTAAGTTTGGACATTCTGATCTACTTGGTGTTTCATTATAGAACTCTAGGGTGCCTGAGTCTTACACTGTGAAGATCCTTTTCTAAAACTTTACATGTAAGGGAATTTAAATGATATTGGATGAGATCAGGCTGGATGAGAACTGATATCTGTAAATATATGTTTTAGACGAAATCTCTGGTTGCCACTCATTTTCTTATTTAACTCATAAAAATAAAACACTTTGGATGGAGGGTAGGAGTAGGAAGGAGATTTATGTGTTTTAATTGCATGTCATTGTTTCATATCAAGGCAGAACATATGGTATTCCTGGCTTTGGACCTACTGAAGGAAACACTTTTCTACCTGCCGTATGCCAGAGGTTCTTGAACACCTGGAGGGATTGCTGCAGCCCTGGGGTGGTGGAAGCCCCATCCAGTTGGGGCCATGGCCTAGGGATCATGCTGGGTATGGGGAGGCTCCAGCCAAGAGCTGAAAAATTTGAGTCCTTGTTCTGCTCCTGCCATAGAATCCCCTAAAGACTGCTAAAAATCTACAAAATGAGGTCCTGCCATAGACCTGGGGAATCAGAATTTCAAGGTTAGGGCTTAAAATTTTTTTTCTTAAAGCATCATGGATGAAAACCATTATTTTATAGATTACATTTATATGGCTAGCTCATGAGTCTGTTTATTTCCTTCTGAGGTTCAAGCCAACACTTTCACTATTTCCTGGTAATAATAGAGAGTTGTGATTTTTTTTTTTTTTTTTTTTTTTTTTTTTTTTTTTTTGAGATGAGGTCTCACTCTGTGACCCAGGCTGGAGTTTGGTGGTGCTATCTCGGCTCACTGCAACCTCCACCTCCCAGGCTCAAGTTATTCTCCTACCTCAGCCTCTCAAGTAGCTGGGACCACAGGTGCATGCCACTGTACCTGGCTAATTTTTGTATCTGTAGGGACGGGCTTTGTCATGTTGCCCAGGCTGGTCTGGAACTCCTAAGCTCAAGGAATCCACCTGCCTCAGCCTCCCAAAATTTTGGGATTACAGTCATGAGCCACCATGCCCGGCCTGAGATCTCTTTAAAATTATTTAATTTTTTGTTTCTAAAGCAAAGCAACTTGACAGAGATCTTTATTGACTGAGTTGTACGAGCCTAGCCCTAGCCCTTTTAAAGGCACTGTGTGGAACGGTCCGGGCTCCCCAGATTGAAATTTCTCCCGCTTTACCATCCAGTTGTCTAGCTGCTGCAAAGCCCCAGATGCTAACCAGGAGTTACAGCAGGCCATGGAGGAACAGGCACAGCTGGAAGCATACCTGGGGCACGTGAGGCTTTGCAGAGGGAAGGATGTGGAAGGATGATGACCCCAGGTGGCCAGGAGTAGGTGAGGACCAGTGACAGCCCTTCCTAACTTCTGTGTCGATTCTTGCAGGTGAAGGAGTGGCTGCAGTATCAACAAATGGAGAGATGAGTACGCTGAGTATCTCCATGGAGAGCATGCCATGTGTGGCAGAGGATGCAGGAGACGTCAGAGCAGGTGAGACCTGACCCTTCAGGCCCCGCCTTAGAGAGGTCGTTTGATCGTTCTGAGCATCTATGCAATGGGAGGAACACAGCCAGAGGTGGTCATGGGTCTGGGCTTTGTGGAGGTGGGGGCAGAGAGGGAGATGGCAGCCTGTCCAGCCACCAATCCCTCTCTCCAGGGCCCTTTCCCCCTGTGCTTTGGGCAGCTTTGCACATTGAAGGAGAAGAAGTATGACCTGCATCAGGTACAGGAGCTGGAGACAAGCTTGGCCAAACTGAAGAACCAGATGGGTGAGCTGGGACTGGGGTGACCTTGAAGCAGGACTGACTTCAGAGGGCTGTGAGGGTGGCTTAGAATGCCCCAGGGAGGTGGGTGGATGGAAGGGCTTTGAGGCAGAGGGAGAGAGGTCTGTGCCAGAAGATGGCAAGTCTTGTCATCTCCATGAGCCTCAGTGTCCCCATCAGCAAAGAGGGAGGAGTGACCACTGTCAGCCACCCACAGTGCTATCTGAAAGTGGCTTGGAAGATTGGCTACCATTGGGAGCAAGGAATCATTAGCAGGGAGGCCAAGTTTGGGGAGCCTGAGAGGAGCTGTGCACCAAGAGGAGGATTTTTTGAAAATCCAGAGGCCCTTATTGTCTGCTTCCTTTCTAAGCTGAACCCCTACACCTGGAGCCCCCAACAGGACCCTCAGAGGTGGAGCAGCAGCTACAAGCCGAGGTCAAGCACCTGCAGAAGGAGCTGGAGAATCTGGCAGGACAGCTCCAAGCCCAGGTGGAAACCAATGAGGGCTTGAGTCACCTGAACCGGGAGCAGGAGGAGATGCTGTGGGAGTGGAAACCCAAGCTCTGGGAGGAGCAGGGGGAGGCCTGCCAGTCCTCTGTGCAGAACGACCACACCACCATCAGCCACGTGCTCTCCCACAATCACCAACTCGAGGAGCAGCTGGCCGAGCTGAAGCAGATGGTAACTCCCACCCCATCCAAGAAGGGCACCAGCCTCTGGGGAAGGGAGGTGCGAGGACAGAGGCAGCTGCAGCCTGGGAGACAGGTGACCACAGCACCCTCCAGGGCAGTGCCGTGACTGTTTCTTGCTTCCTGCCCTCCGAATTGTAGAGGTTGGTAGTCCTGGATTCCTCCCAGGTCTCGACATCATCATCCCAGCTGGAGGCATGGAGCCCCCCAGTCACAGGGAAAGAGACAGTGGTATAAGAGCCTCCTTAGATTCAAACTGAATTCCAGCCTCGGCTCCACTGCTCACCATTGAACTACCTTGCATCTCTAACTCTCCATTTCTTTCACTTAAAAAGGAAGTGAGGTTTTTCCTCACAGAGGTGCTGAGGATTAAATGAGATAATGCATGGAAACATTAGGCATGTAGTGCACTTAGCAGATGGTGGTTGTCTCCCTCTGCTTTTCCTCCAGTCTGTGGCCTACAGTTTAAATGGTGGGGGAAAGGATGTGAGATTTGAGGCTACGGAAGGAGGCATGGGGCTCTGGGCAAGTAGGGGCAGTCACTTAGGCCTGGAGCAAGGGGCCAGGGACCTGGGCAGGCCACAGAGCCCCACAGTGCCCTCTCTACCCTATTAATGGGCCCAGAATCTGGAAGCCAGCCACCAGCTGCCCTCATGCCCAGGGTCTTCCTACAGGTGGAGCTGAAGAGCCAAGAGGCTCAGAGTCTGCAGCAGCAGCAAGACCAGCACCTGGGTCACCTGCAGCAGTACATGGCTGCCTTTCAGCAGTTGACCACCAAGAAGGAGGCGCTGCAAAGGTAGTTACTGCTGCAGACCTTGCTCATGGATCAGTTGCAGCAGCAGGAAGCTTAGGGCAAAACAGTGGCCGAGATGGCCCACCAAGAGCTGCAGGAGACTCAGGCGAGGGAGTTACTGAGGGCAGGGCCTCAAGGGGGACAACCTGGCAACCTCCGTGCCTTCTCACTCTCTTTCCTGGTCCCTTAGGAGCACCTGGAAGCTACCAGCCAGCAGAACCAGCAGCTACAGGCCCAGATGAGCATCATGGTTCTCCCTGGGGAAGGTACGGGAGACCACTCAGAGGAAGAGGCGAGAGCCCCAGGAGGAAAGGGGGACTGTTAGCAGCATAGGATTGAAGAGTTGGAAGAGACCTTTAAGACAGCTGGTCATTATGCCGACCGGGTGTCCGCGCTAAGTTCGGTATCAATATGGTGACCTCTTGGGAGCAGGGGGCCATCAGGTTGCCTAAGAATGGGAGAACTGGCCCAGGTCAGAAAGGGAGCAGGTCAGAACTCCCGCACTGATGGCTAGTGGGACTGTGCCTGGGCCACATAGTGAGACCTTGGCTCTTAGAAAAAAAAATGAAAATAGAGAACAGCTACTCATTCCTATCTGGGAAGGGGCTGGCCCAGGGTTGGGCCGACTGTACCTCCCTTGTTGGGTTGTCTGAGGACCCCTCTAGCCACCCCCCACAGGAGATGGACTGGGCAGTAAGGAGGAGGAGAAGGAGGGGCCTCAGCCCATGCCGAGCATCTTGGAGGACCTGGAAAGCTGGGAGGCCATGGTGAGCCTGACTCCCGCTGCCCCACCTTTGCTGCCTCCCTCTGTGGTCCCTCCCAGACCCCTTTTTGCTCTTTGTTTCCTGCCCTCTGGTTTCTCTGGACCCTTGTGCCTTCCCTGGGAGCCAGTGGTCAGATATCATTTCACCTGTGACACACAGATGCACCCTCTGAGGCCCCAAAGGAAGAGCTCCTGTCCCCCTCCCTGCCACATTTGTCCTGTGTATCCCCCTACAAGAATGCACACGCCTTGCCTGCAGGTGGCCTTTTTAAAATCGGCTTTAGCCAGTGCCAAGGAAGAGCAGTAGGCACAGCTATGTGGGCAGCTGAAGGAGCAAAGGGTGTGCTGCCAGCGCCTGGCTCACCAAGTGGCCTTGGCCCAGAAGGAACCAGAGGTGGCAGTCCCAACCCCAGGGACTGGGGGCGATTCTGCATTTGGGGAGATCCACTGGGTTTTCACCATGTTGGCCAGGCTGGTCTTGAACTCCTGACCTCAAGTGATCCGCCCTCCTTGGCCTCCCAAAGTGCTGGGATTACAGGCATGAGTCACCACACCCAGTCCAATGAAGACGTTTTTAAAATTTGCAGTTCAGGTTGTGGAAAATTTGAGCTACAAATTAGCAAGAGTTTACTCTTCACATGAATGTTATCAGATTCGTCATTTAATAATTGGTGTTTATATTTTCATTTAATGTCATCCACGTTTCTACAGGGTATGAACAGTGGATTTGCAGGTGGAGAAGACAAAATTTATAATGTTTATGATCAAGCCTGGAGAGGTGGTAAATAATGATATGGCCCAGAGTATTTATAAGTCCAGTAAAAATCTGGACAAGGATATATATGGTGATGACCTAGAAGCCAGAATAAAGACCAACAGATATCAAGCCGTATAACTCCGTTTCAGTGTTTACACCAGTGAAAACAAAGTAGTTCAGACTCTTCTCTCTTGTTCCCTAGATTTGTTCCCGACAAGTTTTCTGGTTCAGACCACAGGCAGAGAGGCCGAGAGGATGAGAAGGACCAGTTCAGTTTGAGGAAGATCCTTTTGGTTTGGACAAGTTTTGGAAGAAGCCAGACAGCTTGGTGGCTCTCAAAGACCCTCAGCAGCAGCCCCAAAGAACATGAGCATGAAGGCAAGAAGAGGAGGAAGGAGTAGACACACATCTCTTCAAAGCAAATGAACTCTGATTATCCATAACCCTAATGACGCAAGTGCTATGGGGCAACACTTTGTGAGTGGTTGGGATACAAACCAGATCTGGATGCTACTTTTTATTATTGGAGAAGGTGGGAGTGGGGAGGGAGTGGGGATAGAAAATTCTACTTTGAATTATTTGGTTTTTTAAAAGAGTGGCTTTTATTTGTGCTCCTCCCACCTTTCAGCATTCATAGAACATGCTGGCCCACATCCACAATCAAGATCACTGCCTTTTGTGTGACACGTAGTTCGCGTTAATATTTTGTGTAAGAACAGCTGCTTATGAGTCAAGTCGTCCCAACTGCAGTGAGGTGGAGGATGTTCACATGTTGGAACTGTCCTGCCAAATAAATGTGGCCCCTGTTGCGCTGTGTTTTAATTTGGAGTGGGGAAAAGAAGCTCTTGCTTTGTTTCAAATAAAAACCTTTAGACAAAATTCTCGGTTATGTTTCCTTTATGTAATAGGCTGGCACAGTCTCAAAAATCTTCCTCTTCATCAGATGTTTGCAAAACTTTAGGCCTTTGAGGTTGAACCTGGAGCTGAAAAAAAAAAAGCACTGTAAGGAAGGAAAGGCAATGTTTGCAAAAACATTCGATCTGAAAATCACCCTTTTATGAGAGAGTCAGTAAAAAGAACTCAGGCAGTTTTTATTTTCATCTTGCTATTTTATTTGTTTTCTCCTCAAATTCCCTTTACCATCTTTGTTGTTCTTATGACTCCCTCACCCACCATTAAAAATTGCAAATTGGGTGAGTCACAGTGGCTCAGTCCTATAACCCCAGCACTTTGGGAGGATGAGGCAAGAGGACAGCTTGAGGCCAGGGGTTCAAGACTAACCTGCAGCATAGAAAGGCCCAGTCATGACGAAAACAAATAAACGAAAAAATAAAGTAGTAAATCAATCTGACCCAAGATCACATAATCAGTGGGAAAGGCGAGATTTCAGCTGCAGCTCACCTAACTGGAAAAGTGCGCTGCTAGGTCCTCTGTGTTCTATATATCTTGCTAACCATTACGGGTCTTCTCGTACTTCTCCTTTAAAACTGGGAACTCGGCTGAGTACAGAAAGGCATAGAAAGCAACATATTGCACAATCATTAGCAGAATGAAAAGGTAAAGATTAAGAACTATGTGACTGCAAGTTAGGCTGTAATTCTAGAAGTGGACATCTCAGCACAGACAAACCTGCGAAGGAGGAGAATCAGTGGGGCCCAAGAAAACAATTCAGTCTCTGCATTGAACAATTCCCTTAGACATACAAAAAAGGGCTATCGGGGGGGGGGGTGCCCAAGATGGCCAAATAGGAACAGCTCCAGCCTCCAGCTCCCAGCATGAGCGATACAGAAGACGAGTGATTTCCACATTTTCAACTGAGGTACTGGGTTCATCTCCCTGGGGCATGTCAGACAGTCGATGCTGGTCTGGGAGTGCAGCCCAACCAGCGAGAGCTGAAGCAGAGTGAGGCATTGCCTCACCTGGGAAGCACAAGGGGGAAGGGAATTCCTTTTCCTAGCCAAGTGAAATTGAGACACATAACACCTGGAATCTCGGGTAACTCCCACTCTAATACTGTGCTTTACCAAGGGTCTTAGCAAACGGCACACCAGGAGATTATATCCCGCACCTGGTCCAGGGTGTACCATGCCCACGGAGCCTCCCTCATTGCTAGCACAGCAGTCTGAGATCTAACTGCAAGGTGGCAGCTGAGGCTCGGGGAGGGGGGCCTGCCATTGCTGAGGCTTAAGTAGGTAAACAAAGCTGCCAGGAAGCTCGAATTGGGTGGAGCCCAACACAGCTCAAGGAGGCCTGCCTGCCTCTGTAGACTGCACCTCTGGGGACAGGGCATAGCTAAGCAAAAAGCAGCAGAAACCTCTGCAGACGTAAAAGTCCCTGTCTGACAGCTTTGAAGAGAACAGTGGTTCCCCCACCTTGGAAGTTGAGATCTGAGAATGGACAGATGGCATGCTCAAATGAGTCCCTGACCCCTGAGTAGCCTAACTGGGAGACATCCCCCACTAGGTGCAGACCGACACCTCACACCTCACACGGCTGGGTACACCCCTGAGATGAAGCGTCCAGAGCAAGAATCAGACAGCAACACTCGCTGTTCAGCAATACTCTATCTTCTGCAGCCTCCGCTGCTGATACCCAGGCAAACAGGGTCTGGAGTGGACCTCAAGCAAACTCCAACAGACGTACAGCTGAGCATCCTGACTGTTAGAAGGAAAACTAACAAACAGAAAGGACACCCTCACCAAAACCTCATCAGTACATCACCATCATCCAAAGGCCGATAAAACCATAAAGATAGGGAAAAAGCAGTGCAGAAAAGCTAGAAATTCAAAAAATCAGAGCGCATCTCTCCCTCCAAAGGAACGCAGTTCATTGCCAGCAACAGAACAAAGCTGGACGAAGAATGACTTTGACTAGTTGAGAGAAGAAGGCTTCAGTCAATGGAACTTCTCAGAGCTAAAGGAGGAACTATGTAACCAGCGCAAAGAAACTAAAAACCTTGAAAAAAGAATGGATGAATGGATAACTAGAATAATCAATGCAGAGAAGACTTTAAAAGAACTGATAGAGATGAAAACCATGACACGAGAAATACGTGACAAATGCACAAGCTTCAGTAAACGACTCGATGAACTGGAAGAAAGAGTATCAGTGATTGAAGATCAAATGAATGAAATGAAGCAAGAAGAGAAGTGTAGAGAAAAAAAGAGTAAAAATAAATGAACAAAGCCTCCAAGAAATATGGGATTATGTGAAAAGACCAAATCTACGTCTGATTGGTGTGCCTGAAAGTGATGGGGAAAATGGAACCAAGTTGGAAAACACTCTGCAGGATATCATCCAGGAGAACTTCCCCAACCTAGTAAGGCAGGCCAACATTCAAATTCAGGAAATACAGAGAACGCCACAAAGATATTCCTTGAGAAGAGCAACTTCAAGACACATAATTGTCAGATTCATCAAAGTTGAAATGAAGGAAAAAATGTTAAGGGCAGCCAGAGAGAAAGGTCGGGTTATCCACAAAGGGAAGCCCATCAGACTAACAGCAGATCTCTCGGCAGAAACGCTACAAGCCAGAAGGGAGTGCAGACCAATATTCAACATTCTTAAAGAAAAGAATTTTCAACCCAGAATTTCATATCCAGTCAAACTAAGTTTCAGCAGTGAAGGAGAAATAAAATCCTTTACAGACAAGCAAATGCTTAGAGATTTTGTCACCACCAGGCCTGCCCTACAAAAGATCCTGAAGGAAGCACTAAACATGGGAAGGAACAACTGGTAACAGCCGTTGCAAAATCATGCCAAAATGTAAAGTCCATCAATGCTAGGAAGAAACTGCATCACTTAATGAGCAAAATAACCAGCTAATATCATAATGACAGGATCAAGTTCACACATAACAATATTAACCTTAAATGTAAATGGTCTAAATGGTCCAATTAAAAGACAAAGACTGGCAAATTGGATAAAGAGTCAAGACCCATCACTTTGCTGTATTCAGGAGACCTATCTCACATGCAGAGACACACATAGGCTCAAAATAAAGGGATGGAGGAAAATCTACCAAGCAAATGGAAAACAAAAAAAAAGGCAGGGGTTGCAATCCTAGTCTCTGATAAAACAGACTTTAAACCATCAAAGATCAAAAGAGACAAAGAAGGCCATTACATAATGGTAAAGGGATCAATTCATCATGAAGAGGTAACTATCCTAAATATATATGCCCCCAATATAGGAGCACCCAGATTCATAAAGCAAGTCCATAGAGACTTACAAAGAGACTTAGACTCCCATACAATAATAATGGGAGACTTTAACACCCCACTGTCAACATTACGCAGATCAATGAAACAGAAAGTTAACAAGAATATGCAGGAATTGAACTCAACTCTGCACCAAGTGGACCTAATAGACATCTACACAACTCTTCACCCCAAATCCACAAAGTAGACATTCTTCTCAGCACCACATCACACTTATTCCAAAATTGACCACATAGTTGGAAGTATAGAACTCCTCAGCAAATGTAAAAGAACAGAAATTATAAGAAACTCTCTCTCAGACCACAGTGCAATCAAACTAGAACTCAGGACTAAGAAACTCAATCAAAACTGCTCAACTCCATGGAAACTGAATAACCTGCTCCTGAATGACTACTGGGTACATAACGAAATGAAGGCAGAAATAAAGATGTTTTTTGAAACCAATGAGAACAAAGATACAACATACCAGAATCTCTGGGACACATTTAAAGCAGTGTGTACAGGGAAATTTATAGCACTAAATGCCCACAAGAGAAAGCAGGAAAGATCTAAAATTGACACCCTAACGTCACAATTAAAAGAACTAGAGAAGCAAGAGAAAACACATCCAGAAGCTAGCAGAAGGCAAAAAATAACTAAGATCAGAGCAGAACTGAAGGAGATAGAAACACAAAAAACCCTCCAAAATATCAATGAATCCAGGAGCTGGTTTTTTGAAAAGACCAACAAAATTGATAGACCGCTAGCAAGATTAATAAAGAAGAAAAGAGAGAAGAATCAAATAGACGCAATAAAAAATGATAAAGGGGATATCACCACCCACACCACAGAAATACAAACTACCATCAGGGAATATTGTAAACACCTCTATGCAAATAAACTAGAAAACCTACAAGAAATGGATAATTTCCAAGACACTTACACTCTCCCAAGACTAAACCAGGAAGAAGTTGAATCCTTGAATAAACCAATAGCAGGCTCTGAAATTGAGGCAATAATTACTGCCTACCAACCAAAAAAAGTCCAGAAGCAGATGGATTCACAACTGAATTCTACCAGAAGTACAAGGAGGAGTTGGTACCATTCCTTCTGAAACTATTCCAATCAACAGAAAAAGAGGGAATCCTCCCTAACTCATTTTATGAGGCCAACATCATCCTAATACCAAAGCCTGGCAGAGACACACCAAAAAAAGAGAATTTTAGACCAATATCCCTGATGAACATTGATGCAAAAATACTCAATAAAATACTGGCAAACTGAATCCAGCAGCACATCAAAAAGCTTATTCACCATGATCAAGTGAGCTTCATCCCTGGGATGTAAGGCTGTTCAAAATACTGAAATCAATAAACATAATCCAGCATATAAACAGAACCAAAGACAAAAACCACGTGATTATCTCAATAGATGCAGAAAAGGCGTTTGACAGGGGCGGAGCAAGATGGCCGAATAGGAACAGCTCCAGTCTCTAACTCCCAGCGCAAGCGACACAGAAGACCGGTGATTTCTGCATTTTCAACTGAGGTACTGGGTTCATCTCACTGGGGAGTGCCGGACGATCGGTGCTGGTCAGCTGCTGCAGCCCAACCAGCGACAGCTGAAGCAGGGAGAGGCATCGCCTCACCTGGGAAGCGCAAGGGGGAAGGGAATCCCTTT